CGTCCGCAGCGCCGTTTCAATTTATTCTCCGCTTTACTTTCCTGCATTCTCGTTTCTACCGTATTTATTTGCATAGCGTCGTTCGCGTAGGTATTATACGGCTCCACGGTAAAGCTTCTCCCGAGCTTGGCCGGCTTTAGCTTCCCCTTGACTCTACTTGAACAGTGAAAAGCCAAATGGCACGCTCAACGGGGGGAGTACCGATCGAAAAGGTACGCTTTATGTGCCGGAGTCGGGTGCTTTGCCTCCCGCGATACTGTTACGCGTTAATAAAAGTACTCCGGAACGATAATCGCGTCGGACTCTGACCACGAACACGTTTTGCTTCCGGTGATAGTCTAGCGCAGTAACGCGGGGCTGTATTTGCACGACGAAACCGTCGATCTGATCAATAATTAAAAGAAATTGTTCCGACGGTATCATTGCCGCTCCTGCCTTCCTGCGTTATTCGTGGCCAGTTCTTACTGATATTTACTACTATTTCAATGGCATTCGAACGACTACTGTCTCAAAATACCAGACTGGCAAATGCTGTTCCTGCCAATAGGTACGATCGTTGACGAATCAAAAGGACTTTACGCCTTAAGCTAACATCAGGAACGTTCACTTAAATTTTTGCTTGGTTCTAAAGACTTGCGATTCGATGATAGTGGTTTATATTATATTTGATTAGAAATAACTGTTATACTAGCAGGAAAATGATTATTAAGAGAGTGAGTTAACATCCATACATTCAGCTGTAAAGGAACTTTAAATTGGTATAAATGAGTAAAAAATTGTTAGGATTTAATCCTTGAAATAACGGACTTTTTTCAGCTGTTTTTTAGCTGTTTTTACGTAATTCTATGGGTTGCTTCTATAGTAACATTCTAACATGTTTAAGAAAAAGATTCAATTTCACTATTAATCTTTAAAAGCATGAAGTTACATAAGAGAATCACTAATCTTTAAATATATGAAAAGTATAAAAAAGTAATGGTATGAAATATGAATGATCTTCATATGAGAAACATAGTAACTCAAGAATTAAATCCTTCCATAAATTAAAATCAGAATTACCAAAATGTGATTCTTACAAACCGATTACCACGAAGATCCGCCATATTTATTACAAATACATTGCAGACCATTTTCATAAAAGTAAGGACATTTGGATGCTTTTCAAAGCTATAAAACATGATAAATCGGAGATAGATCCTTTACTATGGTACACCCTGCATCGTTAGAACAGTCTACTAACAGTTTTCTAACAATAAGTATTCACAATATACTTAGTGATAAAAAACTACCTATATTAAAAATTATATCATATAATTATTTAACGATTAAAGAAGTTTACAGTTTGAACTTTAAATGTTGAAATGCATACGTATTTGAAATATTTACAGTACTTGTACTGCTCCGATGAAGCACGTGAACTAATTGAAAGTGATACGAGTGTAGCCTAATGACATGGTGGGCACATGCCTTGAATGCCTGTAATAGCTATTCACTTTTAACCTCGTTATATTAAACCTGACATGCAATAAAATACCTATATATATAAATAAATATTAATTTCTATACTCATTAGTTTGATATCCTTTTATAAGCTATTAACATTAATTTATACTAAGCTTCTCAAATTATTATTTACTTGTTACCATTATGCATAACAAGGATTACTTACTTTTTTCAAATGAATAATTAGATAATTATACTTGTTCCGGCACGGACCGTATGGACAATTATGCTCGCTCATTTCTAACAATATAATTAACATTTGGAAGTGTTTTATGGATAGCTGCATTTTACCATCTAGTGTCATAACTGACCAGCAGTTGACATACCATAAAAAAACTGCAGCTCATCCACTTGAACCCCGAGCGCAAAGCCACCGGTACCCTTGCAGGTCAGAAGGGACGACGTACCCCTACCTCCTCAAGTAATGTGAGCGTAGGCAAAAACACTGTCATCGGCAACACTCCAATCGTTCGGCTTTCCGATTTGATACTAAGGACACCACCCTACACCACTATTTTTATATATATATAGAGTTACAGGACTCACGATAAGGGCAGACAGACATGTAGTCAACGTAAGTTAATTACAAATCACGCTGTACTCACTGGACAAACACACACATCAACTTTGTACACACATACACACTCTTTTCACTCATTATTAATCAACAAATACAGTCCACTTTCAACCGAGAAAAGGAGGAGACGTTTTTTCATTCCAACTATTTCATACAAAGTTAATTCGGCGTGTGAAAGTGTTACGCAACGTCTACTAATATTGCCTGGACAGCGCGCACGAACAATACTGATGAAATAATAGAATTTTCAATCTTTCTTTATAGAACAATTCTTACAGTGTTTACAAGTTCTTTTATTTTATTACGACTCTACTCTGTTTCTGAACTAATAAACATTACAGTGCTATAATATATTCTATTATGCAACTTGAGATGAGAACTTAAATGTTTGCAAATATAGTTTAATGATTGTCATTGCACACAATAAACAAATACTGTACTTATGTAATACTTATATATTTAGTTAGAAATTTCAATGAAAACTATTTTTATTTATTACTATTTCCTGATAAAACAATGAACAATATATTGTGAAAAAATATTCAATTTTCACGCAAACACCGCATGAAAGACAAAAACGTGACACAATAGAATACAAATAATTTGTAATAACAATTTTTACCATTTTTATAAATTTTCAATATAATATGATACGAGTAATTAAAATAAATCACTTCATAAAACGACGTAGCTCTAGTAAGCTATATTAAATGATACTCACAAATTGCAATGGTTCCGCCATCTTCAAGCAGTTATATGAATCATTGCTACTTATTCGTTGGTGTATTCGTTATCTATACATCCGTCGATATTGGTTCATGGGTATTACAGTTGGGGGTTAAACGACCCTCTTACCACCGACGAGAGTCAGGCACCGACAGGATAGCAAATATAACATAACAAATATAACAAATAAAATTTATAATAGCATTGTGGCAATATTTTTTAGGAAATATTGTTTTAATAGAATTAGGTTTGGACTTATTATGTTCAGTAAGTAAATTTACCGATACCGTCAAAAACGCCCCGATACACTAGCCGTCCTAGAAGCTAGTCGATAAAAATTATTACATAATAATTTAATGAATATTCTAAACAAATATATTGAATAATAAAAAAAGCGTCACAAGAACGCAACAAAGTCGACATCTAGCGATGGATAACTTTGAGTGTTTTTCCCTATCCCTGCAATGGGTAAGACAAGGACAGAGTGACTGTGCGACAAAGATAAAAATAGGCTTGCCGATGCAACCTACTTCGAAAAAGCATCTCATCAGGCCCTGGTGCCTACGCGCGAAGCAGGATAGGCAAGGAGATATCCGACAAGGACGGACATATGTTTTTTCGCAGAGAGAAAATAACGCAAAAGACACTTTCTACAAATCGGCGTAATTGACGCAAAGTTTGTTAATACCAGAACTACCGACCAATAAAGTTAATTATTCTGCATTTTCTTATAAAACATATAAAAATACATTTATTGAGTTTTCACTTTCCTTATATTCTAGTTTGTATTCATCTAAATCCATTTCGTGAATAATTCCTGGGAAAATCGTCTGTGCCTTTCCTACAATTGAGAAACAAGAGACTCGAAATGGATCATTTTAGTCCATCTGGTAATTTTAGTGTTAACGCTAGGTTTACAGAACGCGTGAATTTAACGCACATTGAATTTTATGAACATTATTTGTTCCATGTTTATATCGATTTTTATTCATTCATTGTCTATTTTTCTACCCTTAACTTCTGAGATTTAAACACGCGACATTAATTGCTCTAGGAACGATAGAACAAAATGTACAATAAGTATCCATAAACTTAGTGTTAATAACTTATCAATCACGGACAACTCGTTAACATTGGAAACTGAAGACTGTAGAGCGGACCTTTCCTATATCATTTCATATAGGATTTTGTTTTCCGTAAATTATTTATTAGTTACTGTTTGAGATGAAGTTCTAAGATACCCTAGAATTTTTTAAATTTATTAATTTTTTAATTCCTTGGTTTTCTAACTTTATAGTCATATAATCATTAATATTCTAAGTTCAAAATAATACCTAAAAATGTATTATACATTTTCATTTTAACTACCTAACAATTTTGTTAGAAATATACTTTAAACAATAATGTATATTTCACTTCAAATTTATTTGTCAAAATTTCAATTATTAAAATAAATATTATTGGTACATAATTTACCGAAGAATTTTCTACAAGCATTACTTCTACAATCTATGATTGTATAATTAATCAAATTAATTTCTTATATAAATTTTATAGCTGCAATTTATATACTAAATGTATTTGTAAGAATATTTGCGTTTGTGAATGAATAAAAATTCCATTGTTATGAAGTTCTATTAAATAAATACTACTTCCATCGTTTAAATGTACGCGCCATATCATTTATTGTCTTGAATCTTATAACACACTCGTAGCAAAAATGAAGTATACGTATGAAGCATATCCGATTCCTGCTGATAAACTTGCAAACTTTATTATTGGTAACGTTGAGCGCGACACTGAAATGGTACAGGGGTCTTGAGACCCCCAATGTCCTAGATAAAAATTCCTACAAACAGCAACGTCTGTACGTATCTTAAGTCTGCGTTTCAATATTTTTTATTCTAATTCCTATCAGTTACAGCGCTGCCATGCAAAACCAATGTAAGTCGATATGACAGGGCGTGACACGAAAATGGTAAACACGAAAATTTATCAAAATAAAGAAAATGGTAAAAATGGTAATGGTAAATCGCGAGCTTGTAATAAAATTTTACATTGCATATTATATTTATCCTATACTTCGTCTGTGATATTGTAAACAGAAATACTGAAACGATATTAGCGCCCCCAAATATAAGGCCATGAAAATATTTTGGATCTGAATCTACACTTGTATCTAATCTGTGGTCATACTGAAACGATATTTCAATTTAAGGTGGCGAAACATTACACTATATTGTTCGTCTTGTCAATAACTTGTCTATGCTTGCAATACTCATTTCTCTATGACAGATAAACAAACAGTGTCAACGAAAATATGACAATTCACAATTTGTATATATTTTCCAAAAATGGAACGTTACTGTATTACGCTGAATGGAATAGGTTAAACAAATCTGGAATCACTAAAGAAGAGGTAAGATGGAATAAATAAAGATTTATTTGTAGTAAGGTAATAAAACAAATGCCATTATTAAAATTTGTAACTTCAACCTCCTAAAACTTACCCTCTAAATATCACAGGACTTTCTTCGATTCAAATTATGTTAAATAAACGTATAACTGTATCAATTTTAGGAAGCCAAACTGATGTATGGAATGTTGTTTTCCATTAAATCTTTTGTAAATAAAATATCCCCACTAGACCCGAAGGAAGGATTTTTATATTACAAAACTAGTAAATATACGTTACATTATTTTGAAACTCCTTCTGGATTGAAATTTGTTTTAAACACAGATAATGCTTCACAAAATGCAAGAGAATTATTGCAACAATTATATAGAGATGTAAGTAATTTATTTCCAAGGAATATTATGAACATATATTATGTATTTTTGAGAAGAAAATGAAAAATTCCTCTTGTACTTACAAAATTGTTTTAATCAATCTTTTTCCAGGTTTATTTAGAATACGTTGTAAAGAATCCTCTATGCCAACTAAACGAACCAATCCAAAGTGAACTTTTCAAATTGAAAGTAGATGAATTATTTAAAAAGTCACCTCTATTTTTAAGTAGAGCAATTTAACTTGCAATATTTGTAAAATCACTGTATATAAATGTAAAAATAATATAAGATTATTAAGTCCTTTAACTTAATAATGTATTTAATACCGAATATTAAATGCTACTGAATTAATAAATAAAATCATAAGTATATAGCTGAAAAAACCGATGGAATTGATAAAAATTTTACTTTCAGGAAATATAATTTAAGGAAAAATACAATTTACGTTGTATTCTGTTGTATTTACGAATTTACATTCATCAAAAAAGTAGTATTTTTAATAACTTCTGAAATACAATAAAGTGTAATTTTCATACAAAATATACACTGATAAAAGAAGCTTAGAGAAATTAATGTTAAACGTTGTAAAAGTATAAGTTTATTCTTTGTGGTCACATATATTATTTCTATTAACATATGGAAAATTGTACCTCACTTTACATCAACAAAATGTACTACTTTAATTTATATATTTAAATCATTATTAATATACGTAAAAACATCGGTAAAAATGCATATTATTATAAACTTTATATTAAGCTTGCCTTTGTTATACTTTGTATCACGTGCTAGTTCTTCTAGACATATTTTCGAAATATGCCTTACTTAGCTAAAATACCTACCAATGCATACATATAAAGATGGTACAGCAGCTTATATTTTACATATCTGTTTGTGTACATATAAACTTCTATGAAAAAGTCTTTCATAGAAATCTTTCGTTAGATACATGATATTAGCTTATTCAAATAGATAACAAAGCTTTTACTTATAAACAAAAACATATATATATATACGTATATATATATGCGTGTTTATATATATATTTTTTTTCGAACATATATATAAGAGACAATTTTACAAAATTATGTACACATATTTAAGTTCTTTAAAACTCAAAACCAAAAACTTATAGAATACAAATTCGCAAAAATATATTCGTAATGTTTCTTATAATTATTGGTTTAGTCAGTCTTTGCTTGCTTTTTAAGAGTGTACATTGTCCTCTGCATTACTGCTGTTGCATCCGTCGTCGGAAGATGTGAAAATACAAGCACGTTTATTCTGTGCCACCACAGAGCACGGTTCCTCTATCACTGATAATCGCTTCTCGCGATTCATAGATACCGTAGAACTATGGAAGAAAACATTTCTTAAAGTAGCAATTTTCGTTCGCGTGATACATTGCTATCCGTTGATGAGTCGACTTTTGCGTCACCATTAGAATTCCTAAAAAATAAATCCATGTAGATGCAACAATAATGCGCATAATGTACAGTAACATTTATTACTTAACACGTTGAATGTCGCACGATTTTAAAGAGCAAAATACATAAAATGGAAAAAATATAATATTAAATCATTCGATTGAATTCCATTATTATTACTGCACGTTGATCTAGCTGAATGTCGCTGCATTAGATAACATTATTTATAATATACGAATGTTTTCAAATAATCGTCGTTTAATTGAGTGAACTATAGTAATTCGGTTTGGTTGAAAGTCACGGGTGACCCCCATGGCATTCAACGTGTTAATGAACATTATAGTTATTCTTACTTCGCAGGTTTTTGAGCATCTGTTTCCTGTTCCGTCTCCTTATTGCGTTTACGTCTTCCAGCACTCCTGTTGCCCACTCCACACGAACTGACAATTCCTTCCTGATAAGCTTCGATAAAACTGATATGATCATCGAACCTGACGCGTTCAGAGCCACCGTCTTCTCCACAGACAGTCCAATTACTCGAATCACTACACTGACGATCTAACGTCGGTTTGCGTCGAGCACGTTTTGCTAAACCAGATGCTACTTCTTCAAGCGAACTTAAAGATGTGGCTTGTCCAGCTGTATCCATGTGACCACCAGCAACTGAACCAGCCCCCTGTTCACCTTCCATACTTCTTCCACCGCTTAACGAACCACAATCCAACTATACGCATAATGTGTTTATTAAAGTGTTCAAACATAATTAAAAATAATAATTAAAATGAAACATTTAATGATAATATGAAATACCTTGAAATTTAGAACAGAGCCTGCTAAAGCTCTCGTGGAAGCTGCACCATCGTCCAAAGCAATGGACGCGTTTACAGACTTCTCTGACAAACTGGTTGTGGCTGAAGCGGTCTCACTACATAAGCTAAAACGTTGTGTAGACGTCACGTCCGCTTGAACTTCCAACCTGGTTCCATCGTAAAGCACAAATATAAATGTTAGACAATATTTTGTATTTCACAATTGTTTTGTTAAATAATTAAATAAATATGAATGGTCGAATAATTAACATTTAAAATTAACATTACCTTTGACCTCCCGGAAGAACACTAGAAGCTATACTTCCGGCAAGACTGGTACCAGCGAGGGCTACATTACTGGCGCTCTCACGGTCGTTCTCGCGACCTAACTTTTCTAATTGACTTCCACTACCCAACGAAAGTGAAGCTTCTCCTATTGAAGGATTACCACCACGATGACTGGCGACATCAATCGATGCTGCATCTGTAACACAGACTGTGCCTGTCATTACGTTTAAAAATCATTGTTGTAATTTGTGACGGAGTCAAAAACAGAATGCACTTGAGCACCTTATCTCTCACTTATAGAGGGGGAGTGTTTGCCCCCTGGTGATTGTCAGATCAATCTCAATTGACTACTCAACAACATTTATCAATAGTAAATCACAATAAATACAGCATATACTGGTATACATCGTCAGTTTTCATTATGAATGAAATAAATATTTTGGTGTATATTTACGGTCAATCTACCATCTATAGGACATTGTGAATATTTTTAACAAAACATTTTTAGTCACGTTATTCTGATCTGACTATAGTGTTGTAATAGAACACGTGGAATTGATGCATCAAACTGGACAATGAAGGACTCAAACTGACCAATTCCACCAAATAAATCGAAGTATTATTTGTAATGTTAATTTAATATTATATAATGTTGAAGCAAAGTACTTCATAAAAAGTTAAGTTAATTAGTAGTTTGCGGATTTTTATGCATTTATGAGACGTTTAAAAGTGTAAAATTATAGAGAATGCGTGCACTACGAAAAAATATATAAAATATCTAAAGTACAGTGCTTTTTATACTATTTGTTAAGAAAAATTATTTTCAATTGCAATTCTATTTTTTTAATTATATTTTTAAATATTTTAACTTGCACAAGAATCCGCAGTCTATTAATTACTTTATATTCTAAACAAACAAAATAATAAACTAATAAAAACATATTCCTCAATAGTTTTGTATCTCCCACGTGATAGAACTTAAAAATACGATACTTCAGCTATCAGCTTTTTTTTTGAATAGCTTAAACTCAATCTTCTAGGTCTTGCACCAATATTTTAATTTTAGTACTAAAATCATATTTTTGCTACCTCAAATTTAGCATCAATATTCTTTTCCAGTAGTTTAAACTTCATTATAATACCCACGCTTCTTTCTATAGTTCTAATTAAACTCAAAAATAATTGTTTCAGTAACTTTTATCATAAATAGTATTCTTGAAAAAAGTATTTTTAAAAAAGATGGAAAAAGATAAATGAAAGTTTATCGTCATATCAAAAAACGATATTACGATTAATGAAGATTACTTATAATATTTTCCACAAGTAAAAATGATTTTAAAATTCTATTTTACAAACGTGAACAAATATTTTCAAAGGTACACGCTCTTATTTCGTTTCGACAATATGCTTTATTCGCGAAAAAAATTGTTATTAAATGGTTGAACTAATAACACTGTGGAACGCGATTTTCGTTTTTAATACCCACTAGGTGATCCTTATAGAGTTCCTTACCCTAAATACGAATCCAAAAACCAAATTGCTGGGTCACGTCCAGTTTTCGAAAAAACTGGGTTTTTGTAAAAACGGTTGAATTTTTCAGAAAACCAAGTGTTACGTGAAAACTAAAAACGAGAGGCAGTTAAAATTTGTCGCAGAAAATAAAGGAGACTTGCCCGGACACGTAGCTATAATAATTTTGAATTTCGCGTGTCATTAAATGTTTGTGAATAATGATCAAAGTTTAAAAAAGGATAGATGCGCGTACTTTGTATGCACTTCTATTACATTTCTACGAAAAGTGGGTCGGCTAGCACGAATTTGCTATGTGCCATTGGATTCTGCAGACATTTCTGAAGAAGAAAATTGATTAAATATTTAAAACGGAACGATGATGAAAAGCTTTCTCATACTATTATGAAAATTGATAAAACAATTAAACATTATATATACATATAAGAAGTGACCGGGGTCCAGGTCAATACAGCGCGTAGTCACGGCCCTGCATAGCTGTGGCCGGCGAGCAATGGCCGTGTAGCGCGAAAGTTCCATACACGCGCTCTTCGCGGACATTTTCTTACCCTGTCCCAAAGAAAAACCGATCTCACGCTTCCCGCGGGAGGGTTCTTCTTCAGAAATGTCTGCAGAATCCAATGGCGCACAGCAAATTCGTGCTAGCCAACCCACTTTTCGTAGAAATGTAATAGAAGTGCATACAAAGTACGCGCATCTATCCTTTTTTAAACTTTGATCATCATTTACAAACATTTAATGACATGCAAAATTAAAAATTTGTATAGCTACGTGTCCGGGCAAGTCTCCTTTATTTTCTGCGACAAATTTTAACTGCCTATCGTTTTTAGTTTTCACGTAACACTTGGTTTTCTGACAAATTCGACCGTTTTTACAAAAACCCAGTTTTTTTCGAAAACTGTACGTGACTCAGTAATTTGGTTATCGGATTCGTATGTAGGGTAAGGAACTTTATAAGAATCACCTAGTGGTTATTGTAAAAAGCAAAGAAAGTTCAAATTTGTTCCACAGTGTAATTTGAAGAAATACACGTATAGCAAAGGAAGTCAATAATTTTCTGTGTAATAATACATTTTCGCATTTCCCCATTAATACATTACCCATTTAATATATGCAACACGTTATCAATCAGATATTCGTACATCAATGTTGTACTAAAAATATTGTAATCAATGACCTATATATCACCCTATTGTACTTCAAGAAAAACACTGATTTATATATTTACCTCCACCGTTACGAGGCCCTAATGAACCCATCAGTTCATTTTCATCGTCCAAATCGAATCGGCCACCTGTGCCATTTGTCGAAACACCACAACCTCCACTTCGACAAAGTGAAACGGGAACAACACCATAAACATAAAATAATAAACTGGGTACTCCAATGCCGACAACCAATCCCGCTAGTATGGGCGATACCAGAACCTGTAACAATCATGTGAAAATCATAAATAGGATAATAGGTTTGTATTTTGTCGGCGTCAAACTAAAAGTATAACAGTTTAACCCCTTCAGACCTGATTTCCGTACAAAATTATGTACACTTAGCTAACAACAAAGGACTATTCAATGCACCACCAGTAATACCATATATTTTAAATAAAATATATAAGGTGTATATATGGTTGCCTGCCATATTTTTAATATTTCATCAAATATTGAAGGAAAACAGTGTAGAATATAATATGCGTTAGGTTTAACGGGGTTAATTCTATTTTTTAAGTTCCCTTACGTTGGAAACAACTGATAAATTCACTTCTATTTTTCATAGATTCTAAACTACTGTTACCATTTGACCAGTAACTTTTAAATTTAAGTAAAATCCTGTTTATTGCTACATCAATTAATGTTGACGAATCAAATGTGTCGAAATACACCGCGGGTTTTCTTTAAGCTTGAGCAAGGTTTAAATATTCCATGACTCAAAATAATTTAATTAATTTTAAAATTAATTATTTAATTATATTGTATTATATTATGTATTAAAAATACTAACTATTTATTATGTTTATCATTGGTTCGTTTAACGTTTTATATTTTCTAGTAACATACTTTAAGCGTTAATCTAGGTATTACTGCATATTTAAATTATATAATGAATTATTATTTTTACCATTATTACTAAATTCATAGAATTTTGAGAAGATTTAAAAAACTAAAAACTAAACAAGGTACATCTTTATAAATTATAAAACTTATAGAAAGCTATTGTCATTACATTATCGAAATTTGATGAAAACATTATAAATCCCTTTAATATTTTTTTTATTAATTAGTGTCTAAATTATTTTAAAGAATAATGCAAAACTGAATGAAAGTATAGTCGTGAAGCATACACAGTTTTGGAGAAATACGAGACGACTTTCATTTTCTATTGACTTACGAAACCAGAAAATCAGGAAGTCTGATATTACATTGAGAACTTTCATCCATAGTCTCGAGTCATTGTTGTGTAGTTTCAAGCTACCGGAAGATGGTGAATGTATAGTGCACAATTCAGAATTACGCGTTTTCTTTCATGAATCCTCTTTTTTAGAGAGAAAAAAGCAATAATTATTCTGGAGATGTTTCAAAAACGTACTCTGTTCATCGCTTTTCATTAATATACGTAAAAATATGAAAAATAATGAATATAAGAAGGTACTGCCTCAATTTGAATTGTAGGCACACCAGTATTTCAATAATTTTGCCGCAGAACCTAGTTGAAACTGCAGAATAATTATTTTCCATTGTGTCCTACTACAAAAACATTGCACGAAAATGTAAGCACGACATAACAAGAGCTTACAAAAGAGTTCCATACGACAATAGTGTTCGAAATATATAGAACTGTGTTTGAATAAACGTATTAGTCGATCCAGTTTTCTATACCGCGAACCCTTTTCGTAGAAACGAAATACTCAGAACATCAATTATGTTTGTTGTAATATTTTCAATGTAAATGGAAGGGAAGAAAATTTTCGTACATGCTCATTAAACAGTTTCATATCCATGGAATAATTCTATTGCTTTTTGAAGAAATCTTATGTTAAAAAATAATCTATATACAAATTAGTAATATAAAATAATAAATAATAGTAGATAATAAAAGAATAAATACATATTAATAAATTACAGTACTACTTTAGAAGTTTAAAGCTAAAATGTTACTTAAATCAATAGTTTCCTTTTAACAGTGACCCAGTATCTTTTTTTGTACTTTTTTACACTTTAAATATTTCTTTTGGGATTATTAAATGTGAGAACTCTTTTCTTTAATAAACGTGTAAATGTGCTGAATTAGAAAACAGTCATTTGTTATGTAAGGTATTTTCCGTTGCATGCATTCAAGGAAAAAATATACGATTTCACAATACGACTGTTAACTTCTTATCTAGTGCTCTAAATTACCTGTTACCTTATGTCAAATTCATTTTAAAACAAAATATATTAAAACTAACTTATATCCAATACGTCTGTAGAGTATACTGCACGCGATAAAACAGTCCGAAATAGACATTATTTTAACTCGAGTTCAATGGTCACAGTTAATTAAGATAAAATAATTACTTTAAATACGTGTAATTCTGAGACAACAATTTTATCGAAAGGTTTAGCAAAAATCTACAAGTTATTACAAGTCATTGCTTATTCCTCGAAACAATTAGAAAAAAATTAGAAAAAACACGAATAATTTAGAAACTGTTACATAGTATATGAACACATGCTTATATGTAGATTAAATTCCTTCGTCATTTTACGTACAAACATATCGGGGCAAAGTGCTCGAAAACTAATTAATTCTCGAGATACGTTGCTTAAGTGTTTTTCTTATTGTACACTGATTTTTTAATTGAGTAAAAATATTCTTCAATTATTGTTGCACGATAATTCACAATAACAATTTAACCCTTTAAGTGTTTCATTTACTTTTGGAAGTGTAGAAATTATTTTTAAATAATGACGAATATACTCGACAAGAACAGAGTAAGAACACTTGAAAAAATAAAAATAAATTATAACAAAATAATGAACGTTTAAATTGAATTTTTAGAAGAATTTATATTTTTATTGTTTATAGATCTATTAATATTATTTCTATAATACTTGAAATTGAAAATATTTTTATATTCAATAATCAAATATTTGGAAGAAAGAAGTTAACATTTAAGGTTTCATTTGTTTTTATAGAACAGAAAGATAATTATAGTCAGTAAAAATTATCGATTGAAATGTTTAAATTCGTGACTCAGTTTATTATAATATTTATTAACTTAACTGTCATGTTTTGTTTATTACCCTTTAATTCCTTATTGTTCTAAAACATGTTAAAATTACGATAATCTTCCTTGTTTTATCTAAATTCTACTTTACATAACAAAGCCTAATTTTTTTCTCCAAAAAATGTAGTCGTTTTTAAACAAAAAATTGCCATCTTTTCATGACAAGTATATTCAACTAAACATCGAAAAGGTTAAGCAGTATTATCTGTTTTTTGGTCCTTGTAAAGAATATACAGAGCACGAATGAGCTTAATTTTTTAAACAACCTCATAGAAAAGGAAGGCAAGGTAATATAAATTGAGTTAATAATCATTGTACTTCCTTCTACATATCATATGACCACATATAAATTGTGCAGTAATACATCATATAACTGAAGAAATTCAAAACTTAGTGGATTTTATATCGCCAAAAAATATAAATCAATAATGTTGGTATTTTACACTTTATTTATCTAACGCTGGATTTTATTTCACGACATTTATTTTCTCCAAACTATGTATTTTTACAATCTATATGCAGCAATGAAAAATAGTATTAGCATAGATCAGTATTTAATATAAAATCATGTTTAAGTCTCTAAATTATATGAATCTTGATTTAATTTTTTTCGCAACATATGAGTTTCGGGTCTAAAGCTTAAATATATCACAATTTATTATCATTGAGCTGATAAATAATAATAAAAAACACAAACAATTGTTTTCAGCTAAATATAGGTATATTGGTACACTCATATATTTAATGTTTCTATCAAATTATAATGTAAACATTTGCAATGCTTGCATAACCGTTATATCTGCAAAAGTTCCAAAACTCAGTTTGATGTTCGTTTGTTATAATTAGTTGGTCGGTTCATCAAAATAACAGGAGAATGTATTTACACGCGTAAGTTAGAAATTGTAATGAAACGGCAATTTCAGAGAAGAAAATTATATTGAAATTACCAGAAGACATATTCATATTCTATAATATTCAAAATTTTAAACAGAAACTGTTTTACCGTAGAAAGTATAATTAAGTAATTTATCCGCAAAAGAAGATGTAACAAATTTTCCACAAAGTGATCGCTTACAAAAGTTAATAAATCGGGACAAGTAAAACATTATCAAGCTACTGGAAAATATTTTAAAGTTATTTCCAAAAAAATAACGAATAAATGATTTATCTTATATTTATCTAGAGAAAAAGAAAGAAAGCCTTTAATAATTAAAAATGATAAAAAAAAGCAGATTAAAATAAGCAAACATATATTTATATTAAAATATAAGATTGTAATATAATATCTTCTCTAACGAATTTAAATTCGGTATATTTCAATTTAATCAAGTTAAATCCGTACAACGTATTTCCTAATGGATAAAGACATTTACTTAAATATTTTAAAACGAAACAAAAAAGAGCGTAAATGTATCCAAACGATACTACTTCAGACATAAATCTCGTAGAGCAATTTAGAATTAGTGAGACGAAAGGGTAAGAAAGTTCCATGTCCAAATGAAACAATAATTAAAAATACGTTTGAAGAAATGATACAAAATAAGTTCAAATATAACAAAATACTTCATATAATCGTTTAAAACCTGCATTCAAAGAAAAATGTTATGATTAAAACTCTGGATTCAATGTTATAAAGAAAATTCCAATAAGAAAATCATGTGTTCTAAACATTTATACAGAATTGTGCAAAAGCGACAGAATATGTCAATACTTCCGTTCATCATTACATTATATACTCATTGCGACTAGCCATTCGAAACTCAATGTTTAAAATGTTCCAAATAGAGAAATCTACCAGCACCTCCTTCAATAAAGAAATTCTTATAAAATATCTCACAACCTGATCATTTCGCGCCCACCTTGCTTGTTTACCAAAAACGTCGAGGAAATTCGTTGAAATCCCATAAGAGAAGCAATAATAATTATACAATCGCGTCACGCGCAGGTGGATCATTGCACAATCAAAAAAATCCAGTAGTCAAAGAAATCCGGTGGTTCATAAACCATTAACCGTCTTCATCCAAAATTCAATTCCCAATGAGACTAAAAGGGAATAGAGGGGTATCGCTTGCAACAGTCGCGTGGACCACCCTATAGATTCCCAGCCACGCCCCTGGTAGAAAGAAAAAGCGTGATTCGGAACCGGCGATGTTAACCAATACAAATTCTGAAACGTGTCACGATGAGACAGCTGATTAGCGGCAGACGGAGTGATCTATTTTCTAGATTTCCATCGAGCGTGGAAAGGAGCGTGGGGCAGCGGGATAGGAGACAGAGAGAAAGTGCGTGGCGAGCAGAAGGTGTGGGAGGTGCGGAAGGAAGGATATTGATCGGCGGGTAGGAGTGCGCGCATGGGAGATCCTCTCTGTCCCACCCTGCGGCCTGCATCCACCTAGGTGGGTGACGATAGAACGTGCATCGTGTCAGTTGGTACTTCAAGATCCACATTGCGCTACGATCAAGCGCTACGAGAGAGGGTCCGGCGAGCCGAGAAACGTCGGGACACGGCCGGTCGGTGGTAACTGCGCCGTGGAAGGGTGTGTCGCGAAGCGAACGTTTCGAATTACCGATGAGAGGACGTCGAACTACGCAGTTGGCCCGAACGTCCGAGGACCGGGCAACGGGTAGCAGGAAGTAGAAGTGACGGCCGACGAATCCATTGTTAACTGGCGAATTCACGAGCACCTCGACGATATAGCCCGGTCAGGCTCTTACGCGAACAGCCGAATAGGCGCGCTCTGCCTATTATCGTTCCCAAGCGTAGATGTGCTTGCGCTTGATTAGCATCGATTGGGGAGTAGACGCGCGATACGCGCCGAGGCCAGCAGCACACCACGCAACGCTCTCCTTTTTCTCCCTTTCCTTTATTTTTGGTAAACGATATACAAACCCCTCGGGGATCAGTGTTCCGTGTTCGATCGAGTAAACAAAAAGGAGGAGGAGAGGACCGCCGGAGAGACGCGAGGGACTGATGGCCAATTTTGGTTGGAAGGACATGGATTGGGATTGGGAAGACGCGGAAGACTCTTCCAGCGAAACGGAGGAGCAGAAGCCGGAGATTGATAAGGAGTGGCTTGACGGTATCCTAAGGGAATTTCACAAAGAACCGGTTAGTTCGGTAGAAACTATGATTTCCAGTTTACGGTTGCCTGTAGGAATGTTTGCGCGGCTATGCTACTTTATTAGCGGCGCGGTTGAACACGTAGCGTGTTCCAAATATTCTTGAATCGTTTAAAAATTAACCCGTAATGTACAGGTCACGATAACCGAGTGTAACGTGAACCCGGGCTGTATGAGTAACGAAAGTGTACTGAGCACTATAATTAGCGTTAAAGTCAAGTACGTGTTGAACGAGTCGAACACCACACAGGATCTTTCGTTAATCGTGAAAGAGCTACCGAAAGATGCGTTCAGTCGATTTTTCGTTAACGAGGGGCAGTTCGATCTCCGGGAGATTAAATTTTACACGCAGGTAAGCGATCAAGTAACCATTTACCCGAATTAATGTCGTACGGATAATACGGCTCGACCGAATAACGAATCTGACTATGTTTGCAATCAGGTCATGCCAGACTTGAGAGAATTCCAAAAGAAACAGCTGGCGTTAGAGGATAATCGCGAGAACCTCGGCAAACAGGGCGAAGAGATACCTCTGTCGGTCCCCGTGTGTTATCACGCGCAGTACACACCAGCCGAGGAAACCGAGGACAATCTCACCACACCGGACTCGATTCTGGTGTTGCAAGACCTCCGTGACTCTGACTTCTGTAACATTAAGTTCCGAAAAGGAATGACCTACGATCAAACCAAAGTCGCATTGGAAGCTATAGCACGTATACACGCGCATTCCCTAGCGATGAAGGTTATCGAGGGGCAATCTCTCTCTGAACGTTACCCGTTCCTCTTCCAAACAGCGAAAGCAACAAACTCGTATCAGCAACTGGTCGAGCGTGGTCTACCGCAGCTAGCGAAATTTTTGGAGAACACTGGACTGGAAGCAATACTTGAAGCCCTACTCGTATTAAGACCGAAGACTATGCACATAATATCGGCACTTCTAGCTCCGGAAGGGCCATTGACCCTGATCACACACACAGATTTCTGGTGCAATAATCTGTTGTTCAAGGACGGGCCGAACGGCCTCGAATGTTGCATCCTCGATTGGCAAATGGTCACCTATAGCAGACCAACCAACGACATCGCTCTATTGATAGTGAGCTCTTTGCCTACTGAACTGCGCCGGAAACACACAGAAAGTTTTCTCGATATTTATTGGAACGCTCTAACCAGTACGTGCTCACGCCTCGGTGTTGATATTCCCAAGGATTTGGGTTACACGAGAGAAGATCTGAGCAAGGATTACAGACGGTCGCAGCTGCTAGCGCTTCTGCTTTGTATCGGATCGGTGGATGTTGCCCTAGGCGATCCCGACACCGAGCAACGATTGATCGATGTACTAAAGGATCTTCACAGCGAAGGCGTATTCACGGATGAAACTGCCATTGCAACCAGCGAGAATGATTTTTAGTCAGCCGCAATGCCGTTCATGATAGTGCCGCTGTGAATTCATAATCTACGCAAAATGCAAATCAAATGGACGACGGTCATGGAACCGAGGGTTCGATAAATCATGAACATTTGACGTTTGATCGATGTGATTCGGATCAAAAGGCTTGTGTCGATAACAGTGTAATTGCGGGTAGTCAAGGAAGTCGACGTTCAAATGCTGCTACCATGGAAAGTATAGCGTTAACGATAGAACTTTGTGTTCGAGAATGTTTGGTAATAATGAAAGTATTAACGAACATGCGTAGGAAATTACGTCTTCGATATATATTCATAAGATATTCGTTTGTTCTTGCGACACTTGTTTATGTTTTGGTATGACTTGAGCAAGCATGATGCTAATAAATGCTATTTGGAATTATACAAGTAAACAAAAATGACTCGAGAGTTGAGTAATTACTAACAACCTGTACTCTATGAAATGCTTTCGGCATTAAGTGAAACATTTAAGTCAATTATCTACTAGACTGATTTCATTTAAAACGAAGTTTCTCTGACCAAATTTCTTCCCGCAATTATTACAACAGCTACGAAATCGACGTTCTGTTATCGTCAATTTACATACGCAGTAATTATATTATTATTCTCTTTCTTTGTACAAACTACATAAATAAAATATACCTTGATGTTGTCATGAACTTATGGAAGTATATCGGTATTATTAACGCCTAACCATGCATCCCAAACTATGCATATAAATTATTGAATTTGTTTTATTATAATCGTTTCAGTGTTACTGTCTGTGGTTCAAATATTCATTTAAAAATCGCAGTCGCATAATTTTACTCAAATACCACATATATTTAATTATCACAATCAATAATTTAATAACTGAATGTAAAAAATGATGCTTGACTTACCGATGCAGTTACACCACCAACGATAAAGGCGTTCCTTTTATGCTTGTTGGCCTTTTCGTATCTTGTGTACAATTCCTTCCCTACCCATACTGGTATACCTGCAAAAAGAATCATACAAATTAAATGTGACTATATTCAGAAATAAAAAATTACTTTTATCAAGAAAATGTTTGATTTACTTTGAATACGATATTTTATGCAATATCACATGTAAAAGTAAAATTATTTACATTATATATACGTATGACTGACCTATAATCATAGCGGGTATAGCTATGCCAGCTGCAAGTCCGATTCCAACAGGAGCTCCAACTAAAGTCCCTAGTTGCCACAGAATTTTTTTTTTCCTAGACCAAGGTTTCTTGCCCCAAAAGGTACAACCAGAAGGACTATAAACATTTAAGAAATTTGCATGTTAAAAAATTATACAGCAACATTATATTTAACACTTTGAGTGCTGAATACTCCTAGCCGAAACGTTCTGTGTGGATGGAATATTTTTTTGCTCATCTGAACATCAATGAATTCTGTTAATTCATACAATTAATTAAGTTGGAATTAAATTGTAATTGTAATTCCTCAGTTTTACTAAATGGAATAATGCTAAGAAACACGTATATTAATTATTATCACTGTGGCACATGCGAAATTAAAAAGACCGAAAAACGCATATGTGTATGCATAGTCCACAACGATGACTTTCGCCGAACGCATATATGCGTCCATAGCACTCAAAGGGTTAAAACAGATAACATATATAAAAGATTAACTAATACCTTAAATAATGAAGATCGCTAATTTCTTTCATGCATAACCAACAAAATTCTGCCCCGCAAACAGCACAAATCATATGATTACAACTTCCATCATCCATTTTGACAATCAAAACCTGACATCTTGGACAGGGTTTGATGTCATCTCCTATGAAAACAAATAGCATAAAGAATTTGTATCGTATTAACTTTATAATATTAAAAGTAAGCTTTTGAAGATAAATAAAATATACGTACTGTGTTGTGAATCACTCTGACTGAAACTGAGAGACGAGCTACGTTCATAGTATTGAGTACGCTGAGATCTAGCAGCATCACATGTTTGATTAGGATGCCATCGTGCTTTACAGTGGTAGCAAAAGTATGAATCACACCCTGGTCGTTCACAGCGTAACTTCGGACACGAAGCACAACCACTAGCAATAACGGCAAAACTACAATCTGGTGCAGGACACCATCTTGCGTCAGGTTCCACGGCAAGAACTCTTCGAACCATAAAATCTTCATACTTTTCTAACTGTGTTTGGTCATTTAAAATCATTCTAATGTCTAACATAAAAATACATTTTATAAATTTAAAATCTTTCAAGATTGTACACTTTATTTATTTTTCTTCTAGTAAGAAAAAAATACTTACCATTTGGATGTAATGGTTCAGAACATTCAGGACAAGCTATATTAACTCTAGATTCTGAAATTTCAACCTTAAGATATTGTTGAAAGCAGTCATAACAACTACGATGATGACAAGACTGTACCACAGGAAAAAATTCCACTGGCAATTCAGCCAAGCATAAGGGACATTCCATTAAACCATTTTCATTACTCTGAAATAATTATTTTACAATTCTTGTATTTAATTACCATTTCAATAATAGCAACTAAAAATTAATATTAACTGGGCATATCCTGTAAGCTTCATCACACAGATACATTCTATAAATACCTTTCCGGCGGAAGAAAGTACAGAGCCTTTGCTGGTAGCACGCTGTAGATCTATGTTCTGAAATTGAAAATGGTTCGAACCATTACTTACTCTGGCTTCTCCTTTTTCGACATCCGCAATTCTGCTGCCAGTTTGGTCTTTAGCTAAAATAATCGCATTTAAAGAAGACTTACGTTTAATATTGTTTTTAATTTGTTATATATGAGTTATTACTTTTAGTATTCCTGTTGCTTGAACTAGGTGTCCTAACAATTCGCCGGCCGATAAGCGGACTCGAGTATAATAGTCGGCGCAGTGAAAATCGTGGCAATGTTCGTCGTGGTCGGGGAGCTGCACTGCTGCAGCCTCCTGAATTGCTGTCATTTTCTTTGAACATTCTGTGAGGTATTCAGAATCACTACAGTCTCATTCTTCGTTTCGCAAATTGAAAGTATCGTGATCTATATAAAAAAAATTTTCAAAAGAATTCAATAGAATTAAGTGTTCAAAACAATTAAACATATAATACTTTTGTGACATGCACGTCAGTGTTACTTAATTTAATATCCCATATCATTTATAGGTTGTAGAATGGCATAAGTTACTCGCACCGTTTAATGCTAAAGAAAAAATCTCAATCGTGTATAAACGTATGTATATATAAACGTATGAAATGTATAGTTTTATAGGTGATTATACTTTGCGTCACACATGCACGTGTAGCGTTACATCGATCGCACTCAGTATATGAAATAAGAAATTAACAGAGCTTCAAATTTTTTGTACTGTAATTACCGCATAAATTAAAAAAAAAAATGTTAAAGATATATAGTGTTCATAGTGCTACCATTAAAATAATCATTAATAATGATGAATTTGTCGAATGTTTTTACCACGTTAAATGTTTCACTGAAGTTATCCAATTTCGATCGTTTCTTCTTAATAGTTTCTAATTTACATAATATCGATAATTATTTTGCGAATTCGTGTCTACTTTCACTAAAAAGGGAATTATGTAGTCTGTCAAGACACTTGTCATCAATTACGATTTCTCCGCGGTCATGAGACGCATAAGTAATCAGTATTTCGAAATCTTCATAGAGTAACACGAAATATTTGTATACATCAGTTTTACACAAATCTGTTTATACTTATTTGGAAGATATTATGGAGGATCAACTAACACACTATTATTGGATTGCACTTATTTATTCTTTCAAGGAACTAAATCCAAATGCGTAAAATATATCCGATTCGAAATAAAATTCCCTGACCGATGCATGAATCACAGTGAATCACAAAAATAAAAACATTAAAATCATGCATTAATTATAAATGCAAAAATGTAATTGGAACTCAGCTTCGATGTTTAATTTTTTTACTAATATACTTCACATTTGATAACTCGACGAATACGCTATTTAACATAAATCATCGTGATGCATACATGCAAAAAGAAAAATTGTAAATACTCATGCTATTAGATGCAAATGTAATTATGATAATTAGAAAGGTAAATGTAGTGCGAGATACAAAATAATCGCCATTTGTAATGGACTTGCACGTTTACGTACGTTGCACAAAACATACGAGCAATGTGTATATGTATGTTCATTACGATCGAATTTTTCACTTCACTAGTATTACATACTAGTTCCAATGTTAGGAACCAATTCTTTTTCTTAAACCCAATTATACAAAGTGTACATTCGTAAATTTTTATTTTACATTAAGAAACCTTATGAAATGACTAATGCTAATGCAGGTATAAGGAATCTACAAGCAAACATCAACTAAACTTGATCCAACTGATATATGCACGAACCTTCTTTCTGCTAACAAATGTTTTCAAATCTATGACACTTTTAGTAATGAGAAATAGAAATATTATTATAAGGTCACACACTATTGATAAGTTTCACTTATTTTGTTGGTTAAGGATGTTAACTTGACACAACAGCTGACGGCTCCCGACTAGAGACTTATCATGAACATAGTTAAGATGAGAAACATAGTGGGCAAAATGTATGAATAATAACAACATTAATCGAAGTCTCCGCAAGAGGGCAAACAAATCAAATGACATCGAGTTTATCATTTTTACAAGTGTATATTATTTATAACACTGCACTGAATTTTCTTGATTATGTTGGAAAATAGATTTTTCATACTTTAGTCACTTCAGAGTCACTCAATAAAATGAACAAAAAATTATCTTTTCTTACAATATGATGCTCTATGGCAGAGGTGTCTAACTTAATCCCCTCGCGCTAGTAACTTGAAAACAGCGGTCCCCCCACTACCTCTATTTAAAGAGCTGTCCGAGACCACAGACGAGGTATAGAATAGATATAACATGCAATGTGAAATTTTGTCACACGCTCTCGGTGGTACTAGTACCCCTTACCATTTTCATGTCACGCCCTGTCATATCGACTAAGGCTGGTTTTGCATGGCAGCGCTATAAGCGATAGAAATGAGAATCAAAAGTATTGAAATTTTAAATGACAATCAGTATGATGTTACTGATATCAAAAATTCTTTACTCGTTAAATTGAATGTCGCAACGTGATGTTTCAACAATAATAATAATGCAGTAACTTAGAACAACGATTGACAGAAATTCAAACACAGTTGAACAAAAGGAAGAATAATTTCAATACTGTTCACTTGTAATTATGGAAACAATGTAGAACAATCAGATAAACGGTTACCAGGGCATAGCAAATAAACAGATTTCAATGATCTAGTTTTTATAAAAAATGAATTTGTAAAAATATAATATTTTTATTAACAATATTGTTAGATAATAAAATTTTATGTGTGAGATAACAAGAATAAATTTTCCATAATGAAAGGAGACTTGTATTTTGACAATTAAATAAATTCAACATAATAATCAAAATCGGAAAATTGTGATTTCGCTCAAATTTATTATTAAAAGCTTATCAAAGTTATGAATTGAATAAGAAGCTATTGGTAAACAAGAACCTTTTATGATTGAGTAGTATATGCAGTATGTACTTTATATATTACCGTGATCGGGTAACCGTTGCGATGTTTACGCTTACAGGAATTACCTTATCGTCGAAAATACAAGGATCCTACAATATCATCGAGTACAAACGATTATACGGGACATTGTTTTCGGTGGCAAAATTAAGAATATCGCGACTAACATCAGTGACTTTTACCTGTAAATGGAACAGTCTCGACAGCACAGAGTTCAGTTTGTTGCAACCTCTTGAACTGTGAGGACCGAACTCTGGTACCATAAGAACCACAAAGCAGTTTGCATACTGTGAACAGTGGTTCTTCGCAGCTAAAATGGCTGCACATTATTGCTCGCAGTCAAAATGGTTGGCCCATATGCTTAAATGTAGTGTTGCATATAATTAAACTGGGGCACGTAAATTATTCATTTTATATCAAATAAATTAGAGTTGCGATCAATACCGAACCTCTCGTGTTTTTATTTTGTTATGATATTTGTAAAGTAGCGTTGCGATTAATCAGACACTTTTCGCGTTTCTTATTGAAATATTTGCATATTTTATTAATTAGCGTAACGCACCTCTCGCATTTATAATTGAAATATTTGTATATTCTGTAAATTAGTGTTGCAAAAGAAATGGTTTACTCTCGAGATTTTGATAGCACGTATAATAATAGAGTGGACACTCCCATTTTTTAAAACATCTCTCCTTATATTCAGTTTTATGATAAGCTTAAGGGAGAATTAGAAAGGGAGATCGATAGAATTCAGTTTCGATCCACCTTTCTGAATTTCTTTCGTAGCAATCTCCATGTGGTGAAACCTGAAAACTGGCATTATTGTCGGCAGAGTAATTCCTGTTCACTAATTATTTTTTAGTGTAATTTGCTTGTTTTATCTGTTTCTCCATGTATTCCGGTTCACTTAGCCATGTATGCAAGTGAATCGGGCCGTGTGTTACATCGGTTAGTTCTGCTGTGCTCATAAATCGATGTAGTCGATTCGAAAGGTTACGATGGTGAGGCCCGGTAGCAACCTGTGGAAAGGGCTACATGGTTCGCCTGTGTCCATCAAAGCTGTAATTATCACGGAGATCCTATCACTACTGTGTAATCCGTCTGTGCTCCCCTTTGAGGGCAAGGCGTTGAGTAGTTAACGGCGGAACGCTGATGCCGGTGGAGATCAGCCTCTGATCCGTAGATGAGGGAGCATCGTAATTCGGTACTGTGGTTCTGGCTCTGATTTCTCACATTTTGGAATCAAGAACTTCTTAATTCGCTCCCTTTGCTTCTTGGCCTGGTAATTCTTCGGTATATGCTGCGGCCCATGTATAGCTTAAGTTATTCGTTACGGCTAAATTAATTTAAAATTAAGTTTGCGAATGAAGACGTCGCCGTGGGACATTTTCTTTTTTCATTTCAGTATAGACTCAGGAAAGAAGATAGCTGCTGAGGGAGTAGTATTACGTGCGACAGTAATAACTGCGTTCAAAATAAGATGTAGAATAAGGAAGGGAGGTTGATGGAATTCAGTTTCCATCTATTCCTCTTTGGATCTCTCGCAGCAACCTCCACATGGTGAGATCTGGGCAATCGATATTGCTCTGGATAAGACATTATAAATTCAGAGTAATCTCGAGCTAATAGCTACAAATTAAAATTAAAAAATGTTAATCTAATCTTTCCAATACAACAAATAATTCTTGTCGCTTTGTGCATACCATGTTATGCATATAGCGGCAAGAATTATCTGCTTTTGAAAATCTACGCTTTTGACTGGTAGTACCATCCGTGACAAAATGCTCAAACTGGTACACAAACGTTACCGATATGGGAGTTCACACGAAGTGATTGTGGCGTCATCCACGGTAAAATGCTTGAACTGTTAGACAGCGAAGTTTGCGCATTTCACAGGAGTTGGATCTTATATCTGATATCTTATCGTCGCGAACACAAGATTCCTACAATATCATCGCGTGCAAATGGTTAAATGAGACATTGTATTCGATTGTGAGGTCAAGGATATCGTGAAGAACATCGGCAATTCAGAACATGTGACACCGAGCCATATAAACTTGCAATGACTATCCTATACCTCGCTGTGCCTAGACTGTGCACATGATTAGTTCTATGTAGTGTCCCCTGAAACAGGTCAAAGGTGGTATGGAAAGGGTAACTCTCCGTGAGGGGAAGACCCTAGAAAGTTCGCGAAATTCCTAGTTTGACATCCCTGTTATATAGTAATTCCCTATTTTAAAATTTGTTCATAATGGTTGTAGAAAAATATTTCTTTTAGTGTTGCCAAATCGTTTTATACCACCGCTTATGATTTGTTCAAAGACTATGTAGAAGCAAATTTTTATTTTATTGAAATTTATGTAAAAATTAGCATCTGGAACACGTTTAAATGTGTTTAATTTATTGAATTTTGAAAAATATGTATAAAATATGTTTTTTCGTACTTGACACATTTGTGGAATATAATTTTTCTAAATCACATAATTAAGAGAAATAATTATTCGTTTAAAATAAGTGTATACGTACGTAGAAATGTTTATGCTTACGAATAATATTGTATTTTTGTAGTGTTATATTTTATAAACGTTAAGTTTCAATTCGAGTCATCAAAACATGTTAAGTATCAGTGGAGGAATTAAGTATATAGTATACTCAATTCTTATTAACAAATCTAAATGCTTGAACTATCGGTAATGTCGAACATGACAGTAAAATGATATGGGATTCCAATGGATTCCTGAGTCATACACAAGAAATCCCATTATATGAGACGCCTGTATTCTCTATTATTAATAGCTAAATGATATTACATTTTACTCTTTAATGCCACCACCGCAGATTTTTAGCATTATTTTAATTTCAAAATTAAATATTAATTTGTTTTGTTTATTACAATCATATATTATGCAGTGAGAATATGTAATCATTGTAAAATTTTTTTAAAATAGATCATGATTTGCACTATCTTTTTATTATATATCCACTGACAAAATATAACTGTACATATTTAAACAACAATAAATCCAAAGCTGATAAATGATACACGTTTATGTACATATGAATCATAAGTGTAAAAAATGGTTTTGAAATTAAAAATAATTTTATTCTCAGTTTCAATCTAATATTTATAGTACCACGAATCCATACAATTGTTTCAGACATTTGTAAAATATATACACTTTACTCTATTGCTGCATTTGAAATTTTGGTTATCATTCTGAAAATTGCTATATAACCTTATAAATGACAAAATTCGTAAAATATTGTATATGCAAGATGTTTGTTTTGTTCAATGTTTTTGTCAGAACTGGTAAATAATTTGAAAATCATTGTATATCATATTTTTAAATATGTTTTCACAGTTCTTCGTCATCTTAAAAATATATGTACGTATAGCAATTCATCTTAAAGTTAAAGGTGGTTTTTGTTCTTCGAAGCGTATACCAAACGCAAAAGCTTGATATATTCTATGGCATTGGTTATTAAATGTTGTACAATGTTTACATTTACCATTTTTCCTCTGTATTACCATTTCCGAAAAAAACGTTCAATAATAATCATGAAAACGTTTTGTATATAAAATAACTGCAATATTCATTGAATAAAAAGATTTGATATTTGCTTTAAACTTTATAAATTGTATAAAGTTATAAATGTAAGTACATGGGTAAAATAATATGAATGTATAAAGTATAACCCAAAAAAATTGTTATGTTTGCTGTGACAAGAAGTAACGAATTTAATCAAATAAACGATTTTTACTACTGATACATCATTCTACTTAACCATATAACGAATTTTTGAATATTTTGTTTAAACTAAAAATAATTAAGAATAATTTCTAATATAAACTAATTTATGATTTAAGGATGGGGATGAAGGTTACATTTTAAAACAATTCACAAGATTAGAAAATGATTATTAATGTTTTGGAAAAATTGTGGTTCACCGTACTAATGACCGCTCTATGTACAGAAATGTTTTATTCTTAAATTATGCACAAACTGCAATCAATACAAATGTATCTGAAACAAGCAAGTTGGGGGATATCTCAGTTTTTCTGGCCGCCATAAGAATATTCAGATAAAATGGCAGCTGTTTTGTTGGTGTCAAGTGTTGCATCAACCGCCATGCGTTTTTGCAAAATCCATGAGACACGTCCGATTAGTTGTTGTCATATCCGGAAGAAGAGGCAACTGTTTTAAGTTGACACTTGATTTTTAATTTTCACTAATAGTCAATTTAAAACAGTTCACCGTATCTATTTTATAGCTTAGTATAGTAAAGCTAGTTTATTTTTTCAGACATCCACATTTCGACTAAGTAGTATTATAGTAATAAAGGTATGCGCTAAGTCTGCACTTCAGCTAGATATCATAAAACATGTATCATTCCTTCTCTGGCACATCATACATTGGTATTACTAAGTATACGTTTACTTTCCTTTTAAATCATGCGAAACAATGCGGAAATGAACTTCATATCAAATCCTAATGTTTGATATAGTATGCTTAGACTGTAATAAAAAAAAAGGCTAAATTACGTGAAAGTGAACCCGAAAATAAAAACCGACTTCTTGTGCACACCCATTTGTGTTTTTTTACAATCAAATAAGTCATTTTAGCATTCATCATGGTATTATTAATCAACACTCAGCATTGAAACATAAAAATCTAGTGTCGTTAAATAATTCTACTAATAATCGTAAATCAAAAAAAAAACTCAAATCTTGTGAAGTAAGTAGAAGGAACATCATTGGGAATACCTTTTAACCCAGATTTCATGCAGCTGCCGCCTACCATTGTTAGGTCTAACAACGGAAATTCATTTTTCCTGCTTCACATTACGTTTCGTCATAGTTATGTCGCAAAACTGTTATATCCAGTGGGCTTAATTGACGCTTCTCCAAAAATAAGTACATAATAACAAACATCGGATCTTTTATACGTAATATGGTGTTAAATATATTGAAAACTTTTTGCAACAAAGAACTCATTAATGAAATATAGAAATAACAATAACTGATTACATTATGTGTTTCTGTAGGTATCGTGTGTTTTTTGCGGTAAATATAGCGACACATCTAGACGAAAATTGTTCAAATTGATAATTGACGTACGAGCCACGTATATCCAGCCTATTATTGGATCATTTCACAAGTGATTAAGAGGTACTTTACAGTACGTCCAAATTGCTGTCACACAAGTTGGGAGCTCGGTATAAAAATGAGGCACAGTTTCACAATCAGGGGATTCCTTTTTACCAAATGCTTCTACTACCTCCCAATGAATGTATCCATATATCAAACATGATAGTATAACTACTATCATTAAACTAAACCATGCATGGATATTAATATGTGTCCTTAAATGTGTTTAAGGAGAATGACGATTTCTTTAACAACTGTCGTATTCTTATCGGTAGCAAACAGTCTTAACAACGAGCGTAGACTAATCATGTCGCGTTCCATAATCGTGTAGTCCTTGCGTAGGTATGCGTCATGTATGTGCTGGGTGTTAATAGCTCTCATCAGGTGTAATGTTATACATAAGTAGCATTTGTCGACCACAATGGTTATTTAGCCACTGGTACCATTAACCAGAGCTTCTTTAGGCTTGTTGCTCTGTTGCATACGAGGAGGACGTGCCCGTTGTTCTCTTTGGCCCTTAGGCCCTTGGGAACTGTTATTAGTAGCAGAAATGTCATTTGCTGGTGTTCCTTCTTTACTAGTTACTGTTGATTGTTCGCTTGGGCCGGCATTGCTGCCTAAACAAATGCATAGATTAACTTTGAATATTTCTTCAGAAATATAAAACAATGATTTAGAAGCGCACATTTAATAATGTACTTGAATAATAATAATACCTATTAAAACCGATCGTCCTAAAGGAATATTGTAACAATTTTTGTCTATAGTTACCTCTTCGATTATTTGTTGGTGTAGAACTACGCTGCCGAGAATGTCGAAGTCGTCTTCGCCTTACGCTTTTAGGTCCTCCCTCCACACTTGATACAGACTCTATGCATAGATAAACCGTTGTGACCATCTTTTCATACTTCATTATAAGAAAAACTAGTATTCAAATTTACATATATCTTGCTAATTATATATAAAGCTACTGCATATGTTAGTAGCGTGCATTAGTAATCATCATTGATACTGTTAGTGTTAGATGGTCACAAGTGTTTTTTCCACAATCCATGCCACTCTCAAAGCATTTTTAATTTAATAATACTTTTTCTCTTTAGGACGAAACGGTCGTAATGTAAAATGTTATTCAAGCAATGCTATTACCTCTATCAATGCTTGAAACATCTTGGCTATCAAGAACTGTGTCTTCATCATCGGTGGTTCGACGACGTTCGTCTCTACGATCTCTACGTTGAAGTGGAGGACGTTCTTGTCTACCACCCATATATCTCGGATTTCCGGTACCTCCTTGATGGCCACCTCTTGGAGGTAGATCTCTTACGCGATCTTCACTACCGTCTAAGGTATCTCGACGTAAACCTATAAATTAAATATTGTTTATAATACAAATTATATGTAAATTAATCAACACAAACTGATGAATATAAAACACCTTAATGATTTTGTAAAACAAACGTGACGATGAAAGATTAATATTCTTACTTGTAGCGCATGCTGATCAATATAGAAATGAACACATTGGCAACAATCCTCATCATTAAGAGATACTGATTGGAAGTGAAGTATTTTGGGGAACTAAGTTCATATGTACATTCTAATTTACTTCCCTTAGTTACTTTGTAATAGTACATTTTTAGTATTAAATAATGATGTTTATTATATTATAGACTGGTAAGTCTATGCGATTACAATATTATTTTGTTTGAAAATATTAAAAGCATTTGTAAAATGTATGTAATTATTATTAACTACTATCTTCTATTTTAAAAATCAGATTCACGTAGGAGTATTTCACAAGATAAATTTTATTACAAAACGTATTTAAGTACAATATTAATAAAAATAATAACATAATAATTGTTTCTTAGTTACCAACTTTAAATAATCTATAGCGTTAACATTTAGTTTTGGTAATAGTTAAAGGCAATGAAGTTCATTACATTCAATACATTATGAAGATAAATCTTTCACCTTTCATTTGACAATACATATATTATAAATTGAATGAAATACTAAAAATTGTTATACGGGTATGTATCATAAATTTATTGCAAAATATTTGATATTGCGTAAAAGTTAATCATTCTTACGATATATGATTACACAATTCGCACACAAAATTAAAGTATGTGTCATGTTTCATTTTTAAACAATCAATGAATCAGATTTATCACACATCACAAGTAACTTACTCACGACATGCATTTCCATTAAAGGACATACATGCAAATGCATATGGTTGCAGTTACCAGTTTCTATTATACTTTATATCCTATGTAATGAAATGTTTACATATGCAAATTGTTAATGTACTTATGGAGATGAAGTGAAACAATCTAAATGTTGTAATTATGAACAAATACAATGAATTACAAATAACGATCTACATTTAAAAACTAAATAGCTGAAACGGTTTTATAACAAGTACAGTTTTAAATTTGTATAACCAAACTATGGAAAATTTCTAATGCATTTCAGTTTTAACAAAAGCTAAATTTAATTTGAACAAATCGAATCATGTTGCTTCTGATATAAATGAAACTTATTTAATATAATAATAGATGAAAAATCTCGTTTTGTTTTATTTGATGTATTTGATCAGTATTTTTCATATTTATACATTTACAAATTTATACGTTTTTAATTTTGTTTAACATTGTAAAATAAATGATAACTATTTTATTAAAGGAATAGTTGAAAAAACCAATGAAAAGTACAAACTCGTTTATCCGAATACCTATCGTTAATTTTTATAATAGTATATATAATTTAATGTATTTCATACAATAATATATATTACATTATTTATAATTAATTATAATAAATTAATGAATTAATTATAAATAATTTAAAAGAACCGAGAAATATTTAACAGCAATTTTCCTACCAATCAGTTGTATTTTCATCTACCTTTAAACTACTTTAAACTTTCATAGGGCAAGAAAAAGGTATCCTCATTATTTTTTATATTTCTAGCAATAAAACTGGTATTAATCGATTTCATAGAAAATGTAACAGAATATAGAAAAAACATATAACAGTTAAAAGTAAAATAACTTTAACATAATGTAACTAAATAATAGACACGATCTCTAGGGAATCGAAATTTACTTTCGAGTAAATTAAAAAAGAAAAAAAAGAGAAAAGAAAATCGATATAATTTCGAAAATATAGTTTGAAACACATTCAGTTGTTCAGTTTGTAAGTTAAAAATTACATACGAAGCTTATTATAATGATACATTCACTATGCAATTTACATTACTGACTGTTACTTACTTTTAGACTCACAATTTAAAAAACTAAACATCTCTAAAAATTATTCCGTTCATTATATATCCGGTAATACTGGTTTCTTTTGACAAGTTTTACCAAGTCCTAAAATTAATGTTACTGTTTTATGTACATCTGTAAATTATATTACGTTAAAAATGTAACAGTGAGTGTACCGATGATAATAATAATCATTTTTATTTACGGAAACCAAATGTCGTCATCAAATAAACGAGTTTCTACTAAGAATGTTCTATAAGAATTATGTAGTATTCATTTAACATGAACAACTCATTTAGGTGTTACTTTGTAACAGGTCGCCCTCTGTTTCTAAAATCTCTGGATTCTTTACTGTCTCTGGTGTTGGGTCCACCGCTTCTGCCATTACGTTTTTGTGTGTTCTCTACATTGTTGATATAGTCAGTAATAGTATTACCGGCATTGTGTCTGGTAGGAGCCCTACCCCTGTTGCCACGTCCACGAGATTGACCACCACGACCTCCTCGACCTCCACTACCTTCTTCTGGGCCTGTAATTATTCCTCGTCTTGCTGGAGGAAAGTTGAGCATTGGTCCTGTAGTTGATCCATGCATGCTTCTTAATTGTTGGTCAATTTCTAATTTTTCTTGCCGTAACTGTTCAACTTCCTTAAAAATAAGAAACAAACACAGATTATATATATGTACATATTTATTAGGTGAGATAATCATTTTGACCGTCTTAATTATTTTAAGTTCTATCTTTAAACGAAATAACAAAGTTTTATTTGTCGGAATCGTGCGATGTTGAAATGTTGAAGAGTTTTTGGAAATTTTAAAGCCATCTACATGTTTAAAAATCGTTTAGTATACTTTTCATGTATAATAGTGGACATTTAATTGATTTTAATGACCAACAATCATTCAACGTTAACAGGTTGACTGCCATGGTGGTCGCCAGTCACCGGAGCTTTTAAATTGCTTGAAAGTAATTACAATAAAAAAAGTAATATCAAATAAAAATATTTAGTAACGTAAATAACTAGATAATAGCGTAATAAGAGCTGTGACATCATATCATTAATAATTATTTCTATTAGCATTTGACTTTGTTATGAAAGAATAAGCACC